CCCCGTGGAAATGAAAGCATTTGTTTAACAGATAGGTTATTGACCACCTACATTATAACAGGCACTGCTTTAAATACCAGGGATATAGCAGTGAATGAAACAGACAAAAATTCTTATCCTTCAGAGCACACGTCCCAGAAATTCACAGGTATGGTATTCGGTGGTGATTAAAGCTGTGGAGAAATATAGAGCAGAGGAAGGGGATAAAGAATACAGTAAGATGGGATTATTGTTGTAGTTTTAAGTATGGTGATCAGGAAGAACCCAGAGAAGGTGGCAGTTGAGCAAAGTGATCAAACAGGTAATTGCAGATATCTAAGGGAAAAGCATTCCAGGCAAGGGGAAAGCAGTGAGGGAAAAGGCCCTGAGGTGGGAAAATGTGGTTAACCTTTGGAAGAGACAGCACAAGAAGCAGTATAAATGGATCAGAATAGTGAATGGTGCTAGTAGTTGAGGTCAGAGATGTGATAGGGCCAGACTGATTTGTCAATATTTGTGCTTTCGCTCAAAGCAAAGTGGGAATGATTGCAGGATTATGAGCAGAGAAGTGGCATAATTTAACCTAAATTTTTTTTTTTCTAATGTTTATTTAGTTTGTGAGAGAGAGGGAGACAAAAATCTAAAGCAGGCTCTGAGCTGTCAGGACAGAGCCCGATGCAGGGCTCAAACTCACAAACCATGAGATCATGACCTGAGCCAAAGTTGGATGCCCAGCTGACTGAGTCACCCAGGTGCCCCAGTTTAACTTAAGTTTGAAAAAATTTCTGTGATCATAGTTCTGAGAACAGACTGAACTGGGGGGGAGAAGGTGGACAAGAGACAGGAGGCTGTTGCATTCATCCAGGTGAGAGATGATAATGACTTGGACCACAGTGATGTTGGATGAGGTAAGAAGTAGTCAAATGCTGAGTATATTTTGAACACAGAATCTGCAGTATTTCTTGGCAGATTGGATATGTGTTATGAGAGAAAGAGAAGGAATTAGGAATAATTTCAAAATTGTTGGTTTGAGGAACTAGAAGGATAAAGCTGTACTTGACCAAGAAAGTGAAGTCAGTTGCAGAAGCCATTGGAAGGGTGATTGGAGTTCTCTTTTGAACTCAATTTAGTTGGAGATGTGTATTACACATCCAAATGGAAATGGCAGATCGGCAGTTGGAGATAATCTGGAGTTCAGGATGGATTTACAGGCAGGAGGTATAAATTGGAGAGTCATCAGTTGGTAGATAATATTTAAAGCCATTACTCATCCATCCATTCATTGAACAAATACTTGTCATGCACCTACTATATGTCAGACATTGCTTTACATTCAGGGCTTTTGGCATTAACAAAAATAGCTAAAACATTCTTACCCTGTTGAAGTCGCATTCTAGTGGAAACATGAGACTATATGAGAACATTATAGTGAGAGTAGGGGCGCCTGGGTGGCTCACTTGGTTAAGCGTCCGACTTTGGCTCAGGTCATGATCTCACTGTCTGTGAGTTCGAGCCTCCTATCCGAACTGCCAGCTCAGAGGTTAGAGCCTACTTTGGATTCTGTGTCTCCCTCTCTCTCTGCCCCTCTCCCTGCTCACACTTTCTCTCTCTCTCTCTCTCTCTCACAAAATTAATTAAACATTAAAAAAAAATTAAAAAAAGAAAGTGGGTGTAGATAGAAAACAGAGGAGGTCCAAGGACTGAGCCTTGGGTACTCTAATGTGTAGAAATTGTGGAGTTGTGGAAGAATTTACATAGGAGATTGAGAAGGAATATCTACTAAGAAAAGCCCAGAAGAGTATGGTGTCTTAGATGCCAAAGTAAAGAAAGTATTTCAAAGAGTGTGTTTTACCTACGTCAGGTGTTGCTGATAGGTCAAGTAAGATGAGGACTGAAAACTAAAAATTGTATTTAGAATTTATAGCCTTGACTAGGTGTGGTTTAAGTAATGTCAGAGGCAGAGCCTTTCCAAGAGAGGCTGAGAGGTGAGAATTTGGGAGATAACTCATACAGACAGCTCTTTTAGGGAGTTTTGCTGTAACGGGATCAAAAAATGACATGGTGCCTGGATTGGGATGTGAACTCAGGAGATTTTTTTGGTGTGCTGATGGGAATGATACAGCAACTGTATGTAAAAACGCTCATTAGCAGAATTGATTAGTAGATTCTGGGAAAAGATGATAAATGTAATATATTTTAATGTATTAATAATATGTTAATATGGGTCTAAGACCCTTTTCATAACATTGTTAAAGAGGATTAAAAAATTAGTTAACAAATGTAAAATGCTTAAAATGTGACTGGTAGTAGTAAGTGCTTGTTTGTTATTTGCTACTAAATTGAAAGCCCTAGGTGAATAATATCTAATTAAATGTTTGCTGTCAGTTTCTTCTAGATCATTTGATAAGTTTATAAAATCTAGACCGTAAGCTTCTGTAGGATAGGGATTATAGAGGCACCTGGGTGGCTCAGTTGGTTAAGTTTCTGATTTTGGCTCAAGTCATGATCTCTTGATCTCACGTTTTGGTTCGAGGGTTTGAGCCCTGCATTGGGCTCTGTGCTTAAAGCTCAGAGCCATGAGTCTGCTTCTGATTCGTTCTCTCTCTCTCTCTCTCTCTCTCTCTCTCTCTCTCCCTCTCCCCTCTCCCCCCCCCCGCTCCCTCTCTCCCCCTCTCCTGCTCACACTCTCTCTCAGAAATAAATGAATAAACATTCTTTAAAAATTGAAAAAAGGATAGGGGTTATATATATTGCTTATCTTTGTACACCCAGCAACTCACATTGTCAGGGAGTGACATAAAACTTGTAAGCACAGTAGAATAGTCCTGTATTTTCCTTTTTAAAAGATTTTTTTTTAACTACTACATATTGCCCTTTCTAAAAAATGGGTAGAGATGTAAATAATGAATAGAGAGACTTTTGTCTTCTGCTAAAGACTAAGTTATAAAAAGGCAAGGACAGAGTTTTATTTAGTCAGTTCTCATAGCACTGAATTCAGTGCTTTGCATATAGTTGTAGTTCAGTTATTGTTTGTTGAATGAAATGACATCTAGGAGTCAGTAATTTTATACTTAAACAACTTTATGCATTTTCTTACTGACCATAGAATAATGTGCAATCTCCTTAGCTTGGCATTCGGGGTCTCTTGTGGGTTTCTACCTTCTTTCCTTTATGCCATTTCCTTCAGTCAACAGCATTTCTTAGATTTATGGATTTAATGAAGTTTATTTTACCTAAGTAAGTTAACAAAACTACCTTTTAATATTGCCATCATTTTGTTTAAAAAGGATACTTTAATATTTAAAAAGAAAGTTAGAAGGACATTGTTGCAAAATAAAGGACAGTCCTTTGACTTTAATAAATGAAGCTTTATGAAAATTCACTTTGCCTCATCAGTGAAAACATTATCTTGAATTTGTCATATTTGGGATTGAATGATTTAAAATATTTCAATTCTGGCTCATTTGGTAGAGCATGTGACTTGATTTCAGGGTTGTGAGTTCAAGCCCCACATTGGGCATGGAGACTACTTAAAAAAAAAAAAAAGAATAAAATATTCCAATTCCTTCCTTATCTCTTATTAAAATTATACCACATAAACACTTATATATGAATATTCACAGGACTATTATTGTTCATAATTTATAATTTGTAATAGTCAAAGGTGGAAACAACCTAGATGGCCATCTACTGATGAATGGTTAAACAAAATATGGTGTATCTATACAATGGAATATAATTCAATCATAAAAAGAAATGAAGTATTGATACATGCTACAGCATGGATGAGCCTTAAAAACATTATGCTAAGTGAAGAAGCCAGTCACAAAATTCCACATATTATTTGATTATGTTTATTTGAAATGTCTAAAATAGGCAAATATATAGAGACAAAGTAGATTGGTGGCTTCTTAGGGCTAGGTGGGTTGGGAGAGTTGGGAGGTGGTAGCTAAGAGGCACAGGGTTTCTTTTTGAGGTGATGAAAATGTTCTAGAAGTTGGTGGTTGTACAACTCTTTAAATGTACTAAAAAATCATTGAATTGTACACATAAAAGAATCTATTTACCCCTTTAAGGTCCAGTCCACATAACCACCTTTTCCTTAATATTGTTTATATCACCTTGTCTGGGATGCTTTACAGTCTTGTAACTCTTATGCCATTTTTTGATACTGCTTTCCACATCACCATAGTATTTATTTCTTTAATTTCTAAATATTATATAGTCCTCATATATTCACTTATTTTTCATTTAACAGATTGCAACTCTTCTTCCTGAAGAGAAGGTACCATTTCATTCAATCAAAAATTTATTTTTCATTCATATTTATGGCAGGCATTATTTTGGTACTGGGG